AGTCATTTTCAGAAATAAAAATGGTTCATTTGTTTCTTTTTCAAATTTGCTCACTTTTTCAAAGGTCCTGTTTGTTGAATTCGTTTCTACTCCTCTTATCTCTTTTAATTAATTTAAAAACCTTATTTATCTCTCACAGTTTCACCATCATCTCTAGTTCCCTGGGTACTGGTACTCCTATTGTTCCATTTGCTGCCTCTCCCTCATGGTGGCTCTTTTCACATGAGGCGGGTAGACAACAGGGCAAATCCACAGAATTCTGAGTGGGAAAGATTATGATCAATTATATTATCAATCAAGTTATCTTCTTTGTATAAAGGCAACAGCTACCGTATAGCAAAAGACTCAGAAAATACACATCGAGGGCTCCTACTAAAAAGATTAAAATTACAGACCAGCTAATTATGAGATAAATCAACAGCAATAACTCAAGGGTCTATAAGAAAAGAGGGCATATAAACAGCGATGTTCATTTTCCCCTTCTAAGAACCCATTCTGAGGACAAAATGTAAAATGTGGTCAAGAAGCGATGCACCCACACACACTGGTATATTGCAGTTATTAATAAGAGGGGGAAAGAAATACTTGGGTGTCTTAAACGGGCAGAATATCCACATGACAAAATGTTTACAAAGAGCTATTGATTACACTGAGAACTATTTATGATATATGTTAATTTAAAAACATGGGTTCATCCATAGAAAGAAAAACTACACAGACGGTCAGAAGTAAAGATGCCAAAATGTTAACAGTGATTAGATGGTGAGATTACGGATAGTTTGGGTGTGTATTACTTTATGTTTTCTTACACATTGGGGATGTCAATGATGAGCCATATTAATTATATAATCAGAAAAGAGTAAAATGTATATGATATTTTTAAAAAATGAAAACTTCTAAGGGTCACAAACTAACAGTCCTTACAGTTGTTTGTATGGGTAATATTAAATAATGGGGTAATATTAAATAAGAAAGATAAAATGTCATTACTGACTCTGACATCATTATAGTCTACAATTTACTCTCAACGCAGCAGCCAGAGCATCCTCTGAAAAGATGGGTGGGGGGGCAGTGAGGGGGACTCAGGTCATGTCTCCCCTCCACTCCCGACCCTCAGAGGCTCCCCATTTCACTCAGAGTAAAAGCCAAAGTCCTACCATGGCCGGCAGGACCGACACGATCCGACCCCTGCCACGTCTCTGACCTCCGCTCCTGACCCTGATGAACGCCAGCCACGCCGGTCTCCTCGCCAGTCCCCCAAATCACCAAGTACCCACCTGCCCCAGGACCTTTGCACTCACTGTCCCTCGCTGGGCATGCTCCCATCCCTACAGCCACACAGTGCACTTCAGAGCTCTGCTCAAATGCCATTGGATCAGGAAACCCCTCCCCGCCTCCCCATTACAGAATAACAGCTACCCCCACTGTTCCAGCACCCTCTCCCCCTCTCCCCTGGCACTGTATCACCACCTGCGACATGGCGGCATTGACTTTACTGCGTCTGTGGTCTCCCTCCCATGAGAAGAGCTGTTTGGCCTGGTCCATAGAAGATGCTCAATAAACATGTGCTGAGTGCCCGAATGGACACATATTACCAGGGGTCCTCAAACTACGGCCCACGGCCACATGCAAATACAAATATTGTATTTGTTCCCGTTTTGTATTTTTACTTCAAAATAAGATATGTGCAGTGTGCGTAGGAATTTGTTCATAGTTTTTTTAAAAACTATAGTTCGGCCCTCCAACGGTCTGAGGGACAGTGAACTGGCCCCCTGTTTAAAAAGTTTGAGGACCCCTGCATTAGACTGCCACCTCCCCCCCCCGCATCCCGCTCGCACCATGGACGTGCACCAAACAGGCAGCAACGCCCACCTGACAGCCCAGGGATGTGTAACCAGCGCTCATCTCACTCCAGAAAAAAAGTGTTTAAAAGCTCAGCCAGAGATGATGGGAGCGAAGCATCCGAAAGAAAGATAAGAGCGTTGGTGCAAAAGTCTCCATCAGAACATTCAAGTTCTCCCGTCAGGACGCGCTTCCCCCCGCAGGACGGAGCTCCTCAGTCTTATCGCGGATTCAGAACCAGCTGTAAGCGGCACTTCAAATGACATTTTAAATGCTCTTTCTATTTAGCTATCTCTTTGTTGTGATTAGATCTCTTTCTAAGCAAAATTTTTAAAAAAGGCATTAGCAAACCAATTACCCTGTCACTCTCCCATCCCAAACGTTGGCAGGAAAAGGCGGCACCTGGGTCCGGTACCCAAGGGCACCCGCGCTCGGGACGCGCACACCGAGTGCCCACAGTTGGCCTGGCACTGCAGAGACGGGACGTCGTGTTCTTCATCTGGCTGAGTTTTATTGGCCTCTGGAAATCCAAGGACAAAGTGATAGCGTGATGCACAGCTTCATATGCATTGCCTCAGAAAGATAAGGAAATTCGTCCTAAGCTATTTCAGATGTCCGGGCGCCGCGGTGCTCCGGCGATTAGGACGGGCTGCTGGTGGGCCCTGCACGTGCCATCCCGGGTCTGACTCTCAGAGATGCCAGGGCAGCTGGAGGTGGGGACGGGCAGGGCCAGCCGCCTCTGCCACCGTCCACTAAGCTATTACGCGGGCGACATCCGTCTTGCCTTTCATCCACCTTCTTTTCTGTGACAGCTCCTTCATCTCTGTCCTCTAACGGCTCAGCTGTGACTGTCATTTCGTCCCGCGGAGGTGTCTCCCACAAGATGCCGTTTTAAGGAATGTCCTCTCTCCCAGAGAGCTGCGTCTTAGGGGAGACTTCCAGGAGGACCTCCCGTTCAAAGGGGGCGCTTCTGGCTGGGAGAGAGGGAGGCCTCTGATGCTTGCAGAGTACCTGTGCCAGGCCGGACATGTACGCTTTGCACATCAATCACTTTGTACATCTAAGGTCCTGGCTGAATTCTTTTTTTAAAAAAATATATATATTATTGATTTTTTTACAGAGAGGAAGGGAGAGGGATCGAGAGTTAGAAACAACGATGAGAGAGAAACATCGATCAGCTGCCTCCTGCACATCTCCCACTGGGGATGTGCCTGCAACCAAGGTACATGCCCTTGACTGGAATTGAACCCAGGATCCGTGAGTCCGCAGGCCGACGCTCTATCCGCTGAGCCAAACCGGTCCGGGCCTGGCTGAATTCTTACAGCGTCTCTAAGAAACAGATGATCATCTCCGAGTCGGGATGAGAAATCAGGGACCTCCAGGCAAGGCGGAATGTTAGTTCACGTGTTGGGTACCTTCCCTGTTCCGAGGAGCATGTTCTAAACACAGCAAGCACACCTATCTGCGCTAAAAACAAGATTTCATCTCGATGGACGAGAAACTCCAAATGTTTCCTATTTGGAGGAGCTGAAGGCCCAGCCCGTGGAGTTCTGGGCCCTTCGGCCGGTGGAGGCAACCGGGAGCTTGGTCTTCTAGGGCACAGGGACCATGGGAGGTGGGGGACCAGAGCCAGAGCCACTGAAAACGGGGGCTGGTGACGGGATTTCCCATCTGGGAAAAGAGGCTGAAGAAGCAGAGCTCCTCCCTGCACCCCCAAACTAGAGCTCACCTAAGACTACGAACACAGAGGGGAGCTGGAAGCAGCACCCACACAGCCGGGGCCTGGCCAGGCTGCCTGAGGCTTTGATGACTGGCCCTGGGAATAGTCCCCTAGTCACCATGGACACAGCTCATCACTAGCCCAAGAGCCTGGCTCTGCACTGGGCCCCCCAGGACCTGGGTGGAGGTGATGAGCAGGGAGAGCAAGAGGGGGACACGGACGCCCCTTTGAGATGAGCACACAAACCCAAACCCCAACGCACCCGGGGAAAGCCAACGCGAAGAGGGAGAACCATTAACACCAACAGCCGGGAGACAGTCCCAGAGACTTAGTGGCCTGTAGACAGGACTGAACAAGGTGTGCAGGAAGATAAAGCAATAAGCAAGGGCAGCGGGGGCCGTGGAGGATGGGCTGAGGGGCTCTGCAGATGGGAAATGGAGACTTGGGGGGTGGGCACCCAGCTGGCTCCTGTGGGAGCTGCAGCCAGGTCTGCTGTGGTGATGCCACCCCACAGGCAGCCGATGGGACCTGCAGAAGGGGAGACACGGGAGGGCAGGGGCAGCAGTATTCAAGGACAGCCTGGCTGAGAATCTCCCACACTGAGGCCTCTATGGGCCCTCAGAGTAAGAGCACATACCAAGTGCCACGCAAGGAAAGGGATCCACATGTGGTGACCAACCAAGGCCGCGCTCCCTCTGCCAGGCGCATTCTGCTCCCACCACCCCCGTCCCGTGCCCTCCCCGGGAGCTCCTGCCAATGTCCCACTCTGGTGTGGCCCCGCTTCCGATCCTGGTACAGGGAGGAAAGCCCGGGGTCTGGGGTTAGGAGATGCCGGTTCGAGCCCCACATCTGTGACTGCCTCACTGAGCTTCCATTTCTTCTCCTAAAATGGGGAAGAACTAGGATGACAGAACCTCTGCACCGGAAGGGCCTGTGGGGTGGCATCACCACAGCAGACCTGGCTGCAGCTCCCACAGGAGCCAGCTGGGTGCCCACCCCCCAGGTCTCCATTTCCCATCAGCGGAAGGGGATGCTGACACACCCTCACAGGGGATCGTGAAAGGATTTAATGGGTTCATACAGCGCAGTGCCGGGCTCATAATAAATGTTCAACCTGGGCGGACGTTACTATTGCGATAATAATAGGTGCCCCCTGTGCCCCCCGCCCATGCCAAGCAACCTGCACCAGCGTGAGGGCTTCCCACCGAAGCCAGGGGCCCCAGGCATAGCAGACCCAGGGCCCACCGCCACCTCCACGCTGTGAAAATGGGCCAGCCAGCAGGTGACGCCCCACCCTTCTCCCTGGTCACCCCCAGTAGGTCCTCCTTGACCTCCAGAGAAGCTCCCCCACTCCCCGTGACCAACCATGAGCTTCCCCCGGTGGGATGGGCTCAGACCCGGCCCCAGGGCCCCCCACCCATTGCCCTGGGCACCCTACCTCTCTCTGCTCACTGCAGATCTTACACAGCCACAGGGGCCGCTTCTGGCCAGGGCAGGCCTCGATCCCACACTTGGTGCAGACTTTCTATAAGAGAGAGGACACGGGGTGGTCAACACTTGAGCTGCTTCCTCCTCAGCTGAGGGGCTGGGGAAACCGTCGCTGGGGAGCCCTCGGCCATATTCCGAGGGATGGCTGTGGCTTCGGGTCAGAGGGTCAAATCACCCAAAGGGCACCACCGGTGGCTCTGGGGCACCAGGGACCGGCCCACCCATGAATCTCCACGGTGCAGATGCACCCCCACAATCACACTCTGTTAGGAGCACATCACAAACAAGCTGCCCGACATTCACAGCTGCACCATGTTCCACAGCAGAGAACTGGAAGCCGCCCAAACGCCCGGCGCGAGTGGAAGAGCCAAGCACAGGCAGCAGAATACGAGATGGCCCGGGCACAGCGGGCTGCGTCCCTCCCCGGGAAGGTGGGCGGCAGAAGATGTTATGCAACAAAGAAAACGCATTTGTGTATAAGCATGCACAGAGCGTCACGGACTGAGGAGATGCTGTCGTGAGAAGGACCAGTGACTGACTTCATGCCCGGTCCCTTCACGGAACGGGCCCAGGCACCCTACTCCCTACGCATCCGGCCCGCCTCACAGTGAGGCCTCAGGGGCTAGAAGTAGGTGGAGACTTTGCCAAGTTCACCCAGCAAGTAGCGGACTCAGGTCTGGCTCTGGAGCCGTTATGTAATTTCTCCAGACACACAAGTAGCCAGAACCTCGTTCCTGCAGTGGCTGACCTTCTCTGCTGCTTAAGCTCATAACTTCTAAATACATATTTCGCTTCCCCGAAATGCACGGCAACACGGTGCTGGGAGAGGCCGGGTGACATGCCCCGGGAGGCAGGGGACCTGGTGGGGCCGAGACCCGTTCCCGGCTCACAGTTCAGTCTGCCTCGGCGACAGCAGGCCCTCCTCTGAGCACTGGTGCAGGGGGCTACTCGATGCTTCTGCCACGGCTCTGCAGGCTGGGGGGGCTCTCCCCGGCCCCCCTGCCTGCCCTAGCACCGAGGGAAGGCTGGATCTACCGTCTGGCCTTTCCTGCAGGCTGCCAACCGAGCAACAGGCACACCCTTCTCCACGCAGAGGAAAATGTCACCGACTTGGCTTCCCAGAGCCTGTTGTCACCGCCTGATCGGGCAGCTGAGCCCCGCGCTGCAGGAGGGGGAGCCAGCTCTCGCGGAAGGGAAGCCGACACGTTCCTGGGGCGGGAGGGTGTGCATTGGCTACCATCCAATACCGTCCGATGAGAACTGTCACTTTCCTCCTGTTTCTCCAAATAAAAGGTAACCTCCCAGCTCCCAGCATCTCTGGGCTGGCAAGAAAGTCCATTCCAGTCACAGTGGGCCCCTTCACAGCTCTCGTGAAGGTCCCGGGCTTGGGGCGGGTCCCTGTCTAGATGCTCCCTTCTATGCTGCTCTCCCTCTGAGCTCCAGGGTCCCTTGGAGAGGAAGGGGCCTGGCCACCTTTGTGCCAGGCGTGGGTTTGGCAGCCCGCCCCCTGGAGCCCTGGCCCACCACCCGAGACCTGATCTGAAATCCCCTCTTGGCCACTAGGACTGTCTCTCGATATCCCTCCCAATCTCACCCCCAGCCCTTCTACCTCTAGGACAGGCCCCCCGTGAGCCCATCAGGTGGAAATGCACACAGGCCTCTCCCCCAGGGGTAAAGAGAGAGGAAGGAGGTGCTGATGCCGGTTGGCTGTTTTCCTTCTAATTCCCACCACCCAGGATGAACAAATGGTGCACGTGTGAGGAGTGTGGCCCCTCAAGGGGTGAGAGGCTCCTGGTGAGTGTTCTACATGCTCATAGGGTTCGATGCCAGTCCCCTCCAAGCACAGTGCCCTGCCCCGCCCCCTGAGACAACAGTGCGGGAAGAAGGAGAGAACACGAGACGGGTTGCTACCGTTTCCTGAGCAATTGCGTGTGCCAAGCAACAAAGTATGAAGGAGGGGGAGGCAGGCTCTCCATGATGCAGCTGAAGACACGGAGGCTCAGAGAGGGTAAAGGCCGCCGGAGGTCCCACTGCTACGTAGGCACAATCAGGCTTCGGGACCTAGGAGAGCTGGGTAATGCCCTCCCCTGCCCAGTGCCAAGCTGGTGCCCAGGGCTCTCCAAGGAGCCGGCTCACATGCCTGGGAGTGTGGCTGATGATTCTCAAATGAATGAATGGGCAGAGGTGACACGGAATGACCTGGCACAGGCTGTGCTGGGGATGAGTGTGCAGCCGCATAAGCTCATCGGCTCCACGACACTGGTTCTGGGAGTCTGGCTCTGCCCTCCTCGATATTTCTCTGGTGTGGGGGAGGGCGGCCGCTCCTCAACCGAGAGAGGTTTCCCGGGCGGACAGGGGGCCCAGGCCCAGCGGCCTCCCCAGCAACACTCCATGGGCATCCCCACAGCCTCCCTCCCACGCTGTGGCCGCCCCGCCCCACACATTCAGCAAAGGTGCGGGGGGGGTTGCGGCCTCTGCCCCTGTCGTGGTCAGCTCGGGCTGCTATCACAAAACAAATCCTAGACAGGGTGGCTTACACAGCAGACACACGTTTCACGGTTCTGGGCCGAAACTCCCAGACTGGGGTGCCAGCAGGCTGGGTTCTGGGAGAGGGCCCTTTCTATGTGCCCCTTCCTTCTCGCTGTGCCCTCACATGGTGAAGAAAGAGCTCTGGGCTCCTCCTCTGCATCTACAGCCCGATCCCATCACGGTGCCCACCCTCACGGCCTCATCCCACCCCAATCGCCTCCCAAAGGCCTCCCTCCAGACAGCATCACATTGGAGTCAGGGCTTCCACCCACAGATTTTGGGAGGACACAGCCCCTGCCCAGGACTGTGCCCCCTCTTTTGCTTCTGCACGCCGGGGCTCGTCGTCATCTGTCTCACCTGGATCATCCGAGCCCCTGTCCTCCCGAGGTCTCCCCCTCATGCTGTCCTGCCTTGTCACTGACTTTGCTTTCCAGAAACACTGCCCCGAGCCTGTTCCCAAGCACTGCAGCTTGGTGCTCTGGCGCAGGCTTCGGAGTGAGGCAGGCCCGGGTGGGCCCGAGGGCAAGCTACGCAAAGCCTCTTAAGCCTCAGATATTCTCCTCTGTAAAATGGGATCGGATCTGTGCCCTAGGGTTGTCTTGAGGGCTCACTGAGACTCACATGAAGAGCGACCAGCACGTTATAAGCTATCAATAACTGCCGGTTATTCTTATCAGCGACACCCTCGCGCTCTGCTCCGAAACCCTGCGTGATTCTCCTCCAGACCTGCACCAGCTCATGTGGTAGCCCCCGGCCACATGTGGCTATCTAAATCAAAATTAATTGAAACTAGATAAAAGGAAAAGCCCAGCTCCCCGGTCACACTGACCATATTTCAAGTGCTCAATAGCCACACGTCACATCAAATGGCACAGAAATAGAACATTTCCACCATCGCAGGAAGTTCTGCTGGATGGCACTGGGCCCTGGGACCCAGGCCTCGGCTTGGTGCCTCCGCACTCACCGCTGCCCTCACTGGCCTGTCCCCACTGCTCCCCACAAGGCCTCACTTCCCATCAGCTATCGGGAGCCAGTGCTTGCCATTCTCAGCCTGTCGGTCGTCTTGGCCTCACCGCCCCCCCCTCCCCCCATCTGACTCCTACTCGCCTTCCCATTTACTGATTCCCGTGACCGTCACCTGCTGAGTGCCCATGGGCCGCAGGGCACAGTGCGGGGCAGGCAGGGCCCAGGCCGCATGCGTCCCCAAATGAAGCGCCCAACGCTCGGCCCCAGGTCAGCCTGCCCAGGCTGAGTGGCTGCCCGCTGCATTGCCTGAGTGATGTTTAAGCCGGGCTCGAAGGATGGGTGTGCACACGCCCTCAATAAATATTGTCTGATTGATTAAACATCCATGCTGGTGGGGAACAGAGACCAGAAGAGACCAGGAGAGAGTGCCAGAGCTGTGTGCTGTCTTCTACCCACAGACCACAGCACACAGGCCACTTGGCCTCAGGCCAGAGGTGGTGGGGGCCAGATGCCCGCAAGGGGCTGGTGGTCAGCTCCCACGCTGCGGGGGAGGGGAGCGGGGGAGGGTGTGGATGAGTGGCACCTCCCAAATGTTCCCTCCTCCCTTTGCCCTGTGGGGTGCTTTGGAGGGGTTGGGAGTGGTATGACAAGGCACACCCTCCTCGCCCACACACAGCCCCGTTTTCAGGCTGCCTTCCATCACTGGTGGAACCTGCGGTCAGATCCCACCGTCTCTCAGTTGTGTCGTGTCTCTGGCTGGGGAATCCAGGCCAGCAAAAAGATAACATGCTCCATTCAAGTAATACATAACTGCTCCTCTACTAAATCTCCCATCAGTAAGAGAATAATGAGCCTCTTCCCCTACGGGCTTGGTCTTTATTCCCAGGTTCCAAAAAAGAAAATTAAGCTGGTACTATTTTAAAAATCCAGTGAGAGTATGAGCCAGCTGTGACATGAAGTCGGTGCAAAGGGTGCACTCCACAGCCGTGTGAAGGACAGTTCTGGGGCCTGGGGGCGGTCACTTGCTTCCCTGCCTGAGATGGGCTTCCATTGAGCGGAATTGCCCTGGGCAAGTGAGCACTGGCTTCCCCGGTGGTCACGGCTGCCTCACGCTTCCCGCAGTCTAGTATTGTGTCTGAGTGTCCAACAAACCAAGTCTAGCTCTGGGCCTCCCTCAGAGCAGAAGTGACAAAAGTCCAGGCCTTCAGTTGGCACATACAATCCCCTCAATCCTGTCTCAGGCACTCCATGCATTCCTTTTGCACACATGTATCCCAGATTAGAGCACACAGGGGGAAGGGGATGGTTCAGGGGATGGCCCACGGGGCACAGACTTTGGGGCCGTTCAGATGCAACCTTAGACTTGTCACTAACCTTCTCTGAGGGCATTTCCTCATCTGTGAAACAGTGGTAACAGGCGGACGCATGCCACCGCAGGGAGGATCAAGGCAGACGATTCATCAAAGTGCTTTGCACAGAACACGGTTCAGAGCAGGCAGTAACCACAGTCCTGACCCACATGCCTGGATCCGTAGAGGGTGC